TCGGTCGCCCCGAGGCCAAGGAGTGTGACCCGGCCGTGTGTAACGGGCGGCGCTGCACCCCGGCACCGGCCAGTGCGTCTGCACGCCGCCTGAGTGGGCGAGCAGTGCCAGCATTGCGGGGGCCGCTTCAGGTGAGTGGAAGGCGGTGCCGGAGGGTCGGGCCCAGCCCGGGGTGCGGGCTCGGGGGCGCTCGAGGCGGCTGCAGGCCCGAGGGGGATGCCAGACGGAAAGTGGGGAGGCCGGGCCGCCCCACGGTGTTGGAGGACCATTTGCTTCCGGGGTGGTGGTCGTCTGGGGCCTGGGGTCTTCCTGTACCGGGCGATGACAAGGTTCGAGGCGGAGGTGGGGGTACCCCGAAGGGGTTGGGGTGCGGCGAGCCACCTGGGAACAACAACAAAAAAGCTTAGGGTCCCCAAATGTATCAAAGGCCGTCTGTGACACGGGGCCTCTTGGGGATAATCGAGGTGTGAAAGGAAAGGCGGAAAGGGGAGCCAGTCTTACCTACACGCTCGGTTCCGACAGCCCCTTGTCCCCAGGGCCTGCTGAGCCCCCCGACTGCTCGCGGGGAGGCGGCGCTCTGCACGGAGAGGGCCCTGGACGCGATTTGTTGCTGGAGGTAGGAAGGGCAGGATTGCGAGGTATTCGAGATAGAAGAACCAATGGTTGCTGGCTAAAGGAAAGTGAGGAAACCAGCCCTTTGAAGCTCCCTGGGAGCAGCAGACTGGAACACGGTCTGTCTGTCTGTCTGTCTGTCGGTCGGAGAGGGCATCAGAGGAGGTTCCTGTTGGCCCTGATTTCTGGGGACTATGGAGTTCTGAGTTGGCCTGGTTCAGGGCAGTACCTCTTGGAGAGATCACTCATTAATTAATTAGTAGTTATCTATTATTTGCTTCAGTTGTGCAAGGATTTCCAGATAATGCATACAAATAGATTAGCCAGACTTTGGCCTAGTTCACAAGGCGTTTGGGATATAGCAAGAACAAGACATGTACACAAATAGCCCTAGTCATAGGGGGGCTACGGAGGCCCGCATGCCGTTGGTAGTTATTTACTGAACACTTAAAAAAAATCATCCTCGCCAGAGGATATGTTTTTATTGATTTTAGAGAGACAGGAAGGGTGAGGGAGAGAAACATCAATGTGAGAAACATCGATCGGTTGCCTCCTGTATGCGTCCCAACTAGGAATGGAACCCACAGCCTAGGTAGGTATGTGCCCTGACTTGGAATCCAGCCCGCTACATTGGGTGTATGGGATGTGGCTCCAACCAGTGGAGCCACCTGGCCAGGGCTCTATTGAACACTTTTGATCTCAGATGTGGAGGAGTGAGGAAATACGGAAAAACAAGATAGATAGGGTCCCTGCTTTCATGGATCTTACATTCCGGTCAGGAAACAGGCTGTTAACAAGTAACTGTATAATTGAAAGAAAAGACTTATCCAATAATCAGTTTAGTATTTTGCATAAGGCCGTGGAAGTGAAGAGCAGGGGACAAAGAGAGGACTTGATTTAGTTAGGAATGGGAAGTTTAGCGACTGAATAATGACTTTGAGTTGGAATCTGGCAAGACTGGGGAGATAGGCAGGGGCCAGGTCATGTGGATGGATCCCTGTTGGTTGGGTTGAGAATTTTGACTTTTAGCCTGTGAACAGTGGAATGGTCTTGTTTTCACGACATTACAGGCTTTTTAGATGGTAATGGTCTTGAGCAGGAATGGCCTTGAAGGCAAGGCTAGAGCATTTTGAATTTGGGGAGCTTCCAAGATCAAGTGAATGTATGGTTGGATCAGAGGAAAGTTCTTTCAAGTTCTGAAAATCTGGCATGCCATGGTAGGCAGCGGGGGACTGTAGTGTGGGGAGGGGGATGCAGAGCAAGATCAGTCTGTACAGAGTTAGTTGGTGGACTCACTTTAAGCATGAGCGATGGTGGGCAACTAGGTGGGAACAGTTAGTGTGGGTCAGGACAGCCCTAACCAGAGATAGGATATGAGATAGGTCCTGAGTGGTATTGTAGAGGTAAGTGACAGATCTTTCTTTGAAACTGATTTGCTTTTGGGAAGAGAGGGGGGGAATGCTGAGAGTAAGAAAACTAGATTCTATTTTGGGCTATTGAGAAGATAGTGATGCCATTAAGACACACAGGGACACAGGAGGAACGGACCGGAAATGTTTAATTTTGCACACACTGAGATGCTTTCAGGGTATCCAACTGGTAGGACAGGTGTAAGCATTCGAGTTATCTACATATGAAGGAGATTGCCAGGGAGAGAGAGCAGATCTGAGTGTTCACATAGCAAGTCCAGAGGATTAGAGAAGAATCACTTGTTATGGAGCACAGGCAGTCCTGACACTGGTTGTCTCGGATGGTGTCACACTTGAGTGAAGGGGCTCCCCTGGTTCTTGTGGACACTGCATTTGAGCCAGTTTGAGCTGGTGTCAGTGTCCTTTCCTTTGACTTTGATAAATTTTATTATATTTTGTGGGCTTCTGGCATTTGCATCTTTAGAAATGAAAGTGAGAGGAACTTATGTCTCTGACCTTTAAAAAAGCTTTTTAAGTTTTAGTTGAAGGATTATTTTTAGGGGAAGAGTGAAGTACTGGTTTTGATTATAGTGGTATGTATCTTGATTTAACTTATAAACCTCCTTCTTGTTAAACTAAGAGACATTAAAATGGAGACCTTTCTGGTTTGTATTGGCATCAAGTTGGTGTGTTTTTCAAAGCTTTTTAGTTCCATAAATCCCATGTTATAATTGCTATTATAAGGACTCGACTCTTTCATTAATTGAAAGGAATGTAGGATAATAAGAGGATTAGATTTTACTGAAGTTATCTCTGAGTGCATATTAAATACCAGGGACCTGGTCAAGCATTTTCTTATACATTGTTTCATTTAATCTTCAGGACAACTCTTACAGTATTGTGTAAAATTTGGATTTTTGTGTGGTTGTAGTTAGAATATCACTTGATTTTTTTCCCCAAATGAAAGATGCTACAAAAATGATTAATTGCAGAGAATAAATTTAATGGTGCCATTATAATAAAAATAACTGGAATCTTTGTGGATGATTTCTAAAGCAGTACCACTTTCATTCATTTTTATGTGAATCTTTATAATTCAGTGATCTTTTTTTTCTACTTGTGACATCACCATAGAAATATTTCTTTGGAGGATAAATATCAAGTTAGAGAATAAAGATATTAAGTCCATTTATGAAATTAATATGCATTTAATTTTTTAAAGTTCTTGCTATACAAAACTTTTGGGAGGATAGAATAGAATAACCTAGTGAATTGGAGCCTTGTAGTTACCCATGATGTTGAGCTACCTTCTATAGAAGAAAAAGAAAAGAAGTAGGCAGTTATTTAATACTAGAGGCCCGGTGCACAGATTCGTGCACTGGTGGGGTCCCTTGGTGTGGCCTGTGAGGATCAGGCCAAAACCGGCAGTCCAGCGCCACCTGCCACTCCTTTCTGCTGCTCCTGCTCATCCCGGCCCTGCTGTGCCTGCCACCGCTGCTCAGTAGGCTCGCTGCCTCTCTGCTGCGGTCTCCAGGCTGCAGTGGCCAGCTGTGAGCCCTGCGTCTGGCGCCTGTCAGTCAGCTGAGTGGTGCTCCCACTGTGGGAGAGCACTGACCAGCAGGGGGCAGCTCCTGCGTTGAGCATTTGCCCCCTGGTGGTCAGTGCTTATCATAGCAACCGGTTGAATGGTTGTTTGGTCACTTAGGCTTTTATATATATATATATATATATATATATATATATATATATATATATATAGATATATTCATTCTATATATATAAAAGGCTAATATGCAAAGTGTCTCTTGGGAGTTCAACCGGGAGACTGGGAGTTCAATCGCTCGCTATGATTTGCGCTGACCACCAGGGGGCGGTGAGGAACGAAGGAAGGCCCCAGCCAGCAGCCGGAAGGCCCCAATCGGCCCTGATCGCCAGCCAGGCCTAGGGACCCTACCCATGCACGAATTTCGTGCACCAGGCCTCTAGTGTGTGTGTGTGTGTGTGTATATATATATATATATATATATAGAGAGAGAGAGAGAGAGAGAGAGAGAGATCTGTTTTGTGCCTGGCATATACAGTAACTACTAGTAGTAGTCACAGCAGCAGCTATTACCATTTTTCTAGCATCCATTTTTTACAGGTGTTGTGTTAAGTACCTTTTAGGAATTACTCCTTGTAATCCTTAGATTAAAGGTATTCCCATTTCATAGGTGAGTATATATTGAAATTACTTGCCCAACTTATAAACAATTGTGGTTTGAACTCAGGCCTTGTCTAATTCCCAAACCCTTGCTTTCCATTGTACCATTTGACCTTTCATTTTTATCTGAGTCCAGTCACCTTTTATGAACATTCTGTGGAAGGGCTGACCTAAATCCTTTGAGAAACACCTTGAGCTTCTTTTCCAACTTGGGCCTGGTAGAATGGCTCCCATAAGAAGGGTGGAGAGTAGAAGAAAGACCGTTCTGCCATCAACAAGGTAGTGACCAGAGAATATACTATCAATAGTCACAAGCCCACCCATGGAGTGGGTTTTAAGAAGTGTTCCCCTCAGGCTTAAAGAGATTGGGAAATTTACCATGAAGGAGATGGGAACTCTAGATGTACGCATTGACACCAGGCTCAACAAAGCTGTTTGGGCTAAAGGAGTAAGAAATGTCCCATACTGTACTCAGGTGTGGTTGTCCAGAAAATATAATGAGGATGAAGATTCACCAAACAAGCTCTATATGTTGGTTACCTAAGTACCCATCCCCACTTTAAAAAATCTACAGTTAATATGGTTGAGAACTAACTGCTGATTTTAGAATAAAGTTATAAAACTGGCCCCCAAAAGTCATTTTTGCCTATATGACTGCCATATATCTTTTGTCCTTCTGTTTCTCCTAAACTTTATTGTCTTATTTTCTACTGTTTGCTGGGTATCTTTACTGGGATCTTTTAATGTCATCTCAGAATGAGCCATGTGTAAGACCAAACTTCTTATCCTCATTGAAATAATAGTCTTTTCCTTTGCACTTTCTTATTTCAGTAGCAAATCTGACTTTAGATAAACAACAGTCAATATTTAAGAGTAATTCATTGCTCTTTCTTCTCTCTTTTCTAAA